CCGGGGGCGGAGAGGGCCATGGGGAGCCCCCACAGCCCCCCAGAACAGCCCCTGGGGCCGGGAGGGCCATGGGGAGCCCCTGCAGCCCCCCAGAACAGCCCCAGCCCCGGGAACGCTCCTGCAGGGCAGGGGGCTCAGTGGGGCAGGGTCTCACTCCTCGGCTTCCTGCCTTTCTCTGAGATAATTCTCTTTTTTCCCATTAAACACCACTGGGAGCTGTTTCTCTTCCTAACGCAGCACTTCCCTCATTGTTTGTTTGGGGGTTGCTTTAGTTCCTTCTCTACCAAAGCAGCGCGGGGCCCACTGTGTTATCTGCCACCCCCTCCGCGTCTCTCACCCCAACACCACCAGGTTTTCCTCCAAATTACATTTCTGAAGCTGCTCTGAGATTCCTCGCACAGATTTGGCTGCTGGGGGTACCTGGGACCACCCGGCCTGGAAATGCAGGAGGTTTGGAAACCGGGATCTCAACCAGAGCTGTGGTTTTTAGCAGCCTTGCCAGGGAGTGCACAGAACAGACACAAACCCGTGCCACAAGACAGCATCTGGAGTCACTTCTAAGCCTGTTTCAAGTATAATTTGTTATTTTTACTCTTCATGAGATAACTCCAGCTCCTCCCAGACCTTTTCCTGGAGGTTGGTGCCGATTCGCTCGCTCCCCGGGTTCCCGAGCGCTGCCCAATCCCACAGAGCGAGGGCAGCCGCGACCCCGCAGCCTTGAGCCTGGCACAAACACCTGATGATGCTTTCACTTTTACACCACCAATCAAGGGTTCCCATGGCAACCTGCCCGAGCAGGAAGGCGGAGGGAAATTATCGGTCAGCCCTATCACCGAGAACTAAAGAAAAATATCTTCCATTCCGGCGCCCTCGCAAAGTTTCAAGGTGACCCACGGGTACTCATTAATCAGCTGCATAAAGGCAGAAAATACCCCCCAGAGTGGTCTGCTCCTGTAGCAAAGGAATGGCTGTTAGAGCTGTAATACCAGGCTTGATCTGAGCTGCCCCTCCGCTCCTGCCCCATGGGGAGGGGATGGGGGGCAGCGGGAACGGCCCCCTCCCACCCGCACCGCTCCGCCTGCAGCCCCCGGTTCACTCCCGCAGGCGTTTCCAGTCACCAGAGGTGACTCAAGGAAAGCTCAACTCAAGACACAAGGAAACTTTGCTGCCGCTGTTGAGTCTCAGAGGAAGTGGGAAGAGGAGAGCAAAGCACAGCAGCCGCCAACGTACTTGGCCAGGTGGTTCATCAGCAAGTGCAGCATCTGCCTGTTCTTCTCCGGGAGCCGGTGGACGAGGCTGTGGATCTCGGACACCCTCGACTCCTGGTTCTCCAGCTCTGCGTTGGAAATCAAAAGGGATTTATCTCCTGTTCTCTGGCCTGAACGTTAACACCCACAGACATCCCAGGGACCCAAGGCTCCCGCTCCCTTCCCCGCCCCACGCCCCAGCACGCTGCTGAAATCCTCCATGGCACCATCCCCTACTGCTTCCCTTTCATCTGCTGAAGTCCCAAACCCCACCACGGCCTGGTCTCCCAATTCTTATTCTATTTTCCGGGACTCGAGAAGGCAGAGGCCGGTGGGGACGCAGCAGGGCAGGGGGTACGCTCAGTCACTTGCAAATCAGGCACTTTTCTGTCAGAGCGGGGCCGTAAACATCAACAAACTCACTGGCTGCTTTGATGAAGCTCCTTTGAAACTGGTACATCATGAGCGGCCCCGGCAGCATCCTGGGAGATAAAACAGCAAGGCGCACATCTGAGGAGCACGGTCCACAGAAAGCAAGCCTTGCCCTCACCAGAAATTCAGCTCCAGCTTTCAAATTAAGCAACGGCAACTCTAAGTAATTCCCCTATCAGAAGGAATAAGCTCTATTGAATTACCTTCGATTTATCCTTCTCTGCCCCACACTGAATCCATTTTTAATTTCTGCACTCCTTCAGTAGCGCAGAGTTACTTCGGTGAGCCCGAGATTTCCCAGCAAGTTTAAAAATAAATTAAAAAGGGAAACAAGCCCGGTGATAAAACTTTAACGGCCACCGTTCCCATTGAATTCCCCATGTTCCCCTCCCATTTCCACATCCCTTCACAGGACATCTCGGTGCTGTCTTCATTGTTCTGCAAACAGAGCAAACTCTGGAGCAAAGGTGGCCAAAGATGCAATATCATGTCGTGTTTGGTGATTTTCTAGGCCAAGATCCACCAAGCCAATTACAATCATCACGCTAATTGGATCCAGCCTCTCTCGAGTGCTCTCTCAGACCAAACCCAGCATTCAGAGCAGCACCAGCGAGCGAGACGCCGCAGTCGCGACAGGAAGGAGCACGCTGTGGGTAACGAGATGCTCCTTAGGTGGAAGCCCATCACAAAAAGCTCAAGGAAAAGCTTAAATCAAGGCAGAGAACCCAAGAATGAGCTGTTTGTACGACAGATGATCTATCAGAGAGCCGACCGTGTTCCCCAAGTCCCACTCAAACACGCTGGAGGGTGCGGGGAAAGGCCAGAATGAATTCTCCAAGAGAATTTCTTCCTTGTTTCTATTAAAATGCTGCTGCTAAGGATCTGCAACAGCCCCCAAATCTGTGCCGAAGCCCCAGGACAGACGAGGCTCTCCCCCCTTACCTCAGGTAGGTTTTCAGAGCACTGGTGATGGTTTTTATCTCCCACTCGGCACAGATCTCGGTTTCTGTTTCCGTGGCTGTTTTGGGATCTGAGGAAAAGAGAAACAAGTGAACCAAAGCGAAGGTAACCCCAGCTCACAGCAGCTCAGCTCAGTGGTGTGGGAGAACCACCTCGTCCCATTTCATTTGATTTATGTGCCCCGTGACCAGGAGCCGATCCCCACTGAGGGCAGGGGGGCAGAGTCTGACACAGGGGAAGGGCCACGCTCACTCGCACGGGATGAGAGAAGGAACAGAGAAACATCAACCACGAGCAGCGAGAGCAGCAGCAGGACCCAGAGTGTGATGGGACACAGGGACAGCAGCCTGGGGGTGACAGCGGTGACAGCGCAGGGCACGAGCACGGCACAGAGAGCCCAGAAAACCCAGCCATGAGTCTGGGCCGAACCAACGTCAGTGAGAGCAGCTCAAAGCTGGTGAGACTTTGGATTTGTGCTGGGAATAACATCGATAGCACGCCAATATTTGCATTTTTCAAGAAGGCAATGAGGTCTCCCCTCAGCTCCTCGTCTCCAGTTGAACCCCCAGCTCCCTCATTGCTCCCCAGCATTCGGCTGCTCCAGACCCTTCCCCAGCTCCCTTCCCCTTCTCTGCCCACGCTTCAGCCCTTCCACGTCCTTTTTGGGTCCCAAACCTGACCCCAGGATTTGAGGGGCGGCCCCACCAGTGCCCAGCACAGGGGATGATCCCTGCCCTGCTCCTGCTGGCCACTGTCCATCCCCAGATTACCCCCCAGCAGCCAAGAGGCTGGGGACCTACTTGTTGGCGGAGGGGGGGG